AGAAAAACACAATATGGTATATATATTTTGTAATTTTACAATTTATTTGTATTTACTTGTTCATCATCATAATTTACTTTACTTCGTATATTTAGGGGTCTCATTCATCATTATATATATATAAGTACTTGAGTCTAAGTTGTTTACCTTCAATTTAATTCCACTTTTTGGTTGCTCTCTGCTTTGCTTTAATTCAATTTTAATGAATATTTAATTCAAAGTTTTTCCTCTTCCGTTCGGCATTTTCAACTAAATGCTGATTTATATAATTTGTATATATATATATATATGCGTGTGTGTGTGTATATATATATAATTATACAATAATGTATACATATATATGTATATTTATATATATTTTTTGATGTATTTCACATAGTTAATAATAAATAATATTTATAATTAATTACAATAAATTGCATAACAAAATTGATTTGACTTTCCATTTCGAGTATTCCACATGATGTTCCGCTAATATTAATTATTAATTTTTTCTGCTCCTTTTTATACAATAATTTTCGCATTGCTAGAAAATCATGAAAATGTTTTTACGGCTAATTTTAGCGCTTATTCTCTTTCTTTTTTTTTCATATATATATATATTTTTGTAATCTTATTTATTTTTTCATTTTAGTTTTTTTGTTCTTGTTGAGTTTTCTGTTTTGCGGTTGATTTTATTTAAATATATATGTGTATAAAAAAGTATTTGAGATGCTTTTTTTTTGTGTTTATTTGTTGTTTAAATTGTTAAATAAAGTTTGTGGTTGCTTGCATATTTAATTTGTTGTTGCTTTTGCATTAATGTTTTTAATGTTGTTTTGTTAATTACTTTTCGATTTGAATTGGTAATTTTGTTGTTGTTGCCATTTAGTTAATGTTTATATATGTTTATATACGCTAAGTACAATGCCTGTTTATGTGATAAAAACTATGTAAATTGTTTTTAGTTTTCTCTCAATATTAATGGGGGACCTTTTCATTATGTAGATGTGTTTTGCTAGTTAATTTGGTGCGCGACTTATAATATACAAATGTAGTTATATTTATATAAGTACAATTTTTGTATTTTTTTTTTGTATATTTTTTAATTAATTTTTTTTTTAACAATTAATATCGTTTTTCATAAAGTTAAGAAATTCGTTATTCATTTGCTTTAAACACTTTTAGATTTGTAAGTTTTTCTCTTGAAGCACAAAAGCATTAATAATCAATCATAATAAATTAACAACAATAAATTAAAAGTTAAAATTAAAATTGTCTAAAATGCACTGCAAACAAAAATATTTGAAATATTTTCTATTGCTTCAGCTCTTCCAGAGCTCCCGTTTTCTTGTTCTTCTTGACCTGGGCATAGAGCGAGGCGGCCTTATAGTTGATGGGTCCGTAGTGCTG